GTGCACCATATATAAAGTTATTGTCTTTCAAAAGTAAGAGTCGACGCTAAGTCATTAGCCGCTTCGTTGTGACGTCAAGACGAAACATTAGCATATTGCCCACCCACGTATTGCACGTGCAGACACCAGGGAAAACTTGAACCTCAAACCTGCAGCTGATTCTTGTGGATACTGGATAGCATCATGTCCAGAAGAAGCTGTGCTCTATAATGTGAAGGTAAAGCCAGTTTTTTTTCACTGCCCAAGGACGAGCATGTGAAGAATCAGTGGTTAAAATTCATCTTTACCAGGATATCACAGCAGTGTAATCCTAAACTTTTGCTGTGTTCCCTTTATTTTACTGACGACTGCTTCTCAAATCTCGGAGTTCAGTATAGGATTCGCAAACCGCTTCAAAATACTTAGTTTTGAGTTTTATATTGTGTTGGTCTCCTGCTAACTGGCTAACTCATGTTATCACTGTCTTACTGAAATACTTGCTAATCAGTTGTGGGCCACTATTACCTATAACTGTGTCTATTAATGCAGATTGTCTGTCGTTCTCACTACTTTGAGGAGAGATTAAGCATGGAGCAAGATTTGATTTACCAACGTTTATGTTACATCAGTCATTCACGCTAGAGCTCGGCTAATGTATACATTGTATACATGCACTGTTAAAGGGATACTCCATTTTTTTTTTTTGGAAATAGGCTCATTTTACAACTCCCCCAGAGTTAAACTGTTGAGTTTTACCGTTTTTGAATCCATTCAGCCGATCTCCGGTTCTGGCGGTACCACTTTTAGCATAGCTTAGCATACATCATTGAAGTGGACAAGACCATTAGCATTTCTAAAAAAAAAAATGACCAAAGAGTTTCGATATTTTTCCTATTTATGATATGACGCAGCGCCTGAAAATAGGCTACCTTCTGTCAACACAACGGAACTATTTTCAGGCGCTGCGTCATATCATTACGCCTGCTGCTCTCATGGTAAGGCAGTAAAGTTTCTTGATTATTACGCAGGAATGAGAGTATAGTTCCTAGCCATATCAGCCTAGAAATAGCAACTTTACATTTTCAGTCGGTCTTAGTGCACGATGTAACTACAGAAGAGTCAAGTTTTAAATAGGAAAAATATCGAAACTCTTTGGTCATTTTTTTTTTTAGAAATGCTAATGGTCTTGTCCACTTCAATGATTTATGCTAAGCTATGCTAAAAGTGGTACTGCCAGAACCGGAGATCGGCTGAATGGATTCAAAAACGGTAAAACTCAACAGTTTAACTCTGGGGGAGTTGTAAAATGAGCCTATTTCCAAAAAAAGTGGAGTATCCCTTTAATGATACAATTTCCACGTGTTCACCAAAATATGTTAGAAAAATACTCGGTTAATAAATTAGTACAAGTAAAATAATCGGTTTGTTGATGGACATGCACTTGTTAATGCTGATGGTGAGGAATTACAGTTGCAACATCTCATAATGTAACCTCAAACTGAGTAGTGTATCACTGAGAAACGTCCTGGGGTGCGTTTCCCGAAAGCATCGTTAGCCAACTATGGTCGCAAGTTCCGTCGTTACCAATAGAGTTTAATGGAAATTGCGACCAATTTGCGACCATAGTTGGCTAACGATGCTTTCGGGAAACGCACCCCTGCTCGAGTCGTCATTGCTATGGAGGTTCGGGTTGAAGAACTAGTTCTAACAATGTTTCACCATTGGACTAGCGCTCGGATTGATATGGTATTTTGTTTAATTGTCTATATAGTATCGTGGAAGAATCGTGATCTCTATTTAAAAAAAAAAAAAATTCTTAGTATCTGGAATCATGCTCTACTATTGGTGTTTTCCTCATGGTGTCCCAAAAATTAAGGCAAAACCCAAACACACATAAATGACAACATACCATAGGACTTATATTGTTTAAATGTATGTTAAGGTAATTACTACAGACCAATCATAACCCTAACCTTAGGACTAAATAACACTTCTTGCAGTGATAAAGTTATTACTCTTTTTCTTATTTAAAGCGAGTGTGCAGTTGTGTAGCTGTGAAGTTCTCTTTTTCAGGCTAGTTGTGTGTCATAAGTGTGTGTTTGTGAATGTTAAATCTGTTCTTCATTTGCTCATTATCAGTGTAATACATCTCAGTGTCCTTCTCTTTAAACACACTTCTTAAATAATTCATGCCTACTCAACGCACACTGCCCACATTACCTATTTACTGGTCCTTCGCTGTAAGACGACTGAATTGTGATTCTTTAGCTCCTCTCTTCTCCTTCAAGTTTAAATCAAAACAGTCCTAAATTAAAAAGCACATGAATGTGCTAATGGATGTGCACAAAATAATATGAGCTAATTTGCATGTCTAACCACATTAGCAAATTACTGCTTGATTTACTATCCACAGGAACAAATTAACATCCTCATTTGGGTAATTTTTGTCATTTTTCTAGACACAGATTTTGTCACTTCTTTAAACACTTAATATGTGTAGTGCTGAGACATGGCTTTGGCCCTCAGCATGAGGTATTGTCTCTAAAACCCCTTCAGGTTTCATTTTGACCTTCTAAGCTGATTGTAATACTAACCGACATTCACTCATGCACAGCTACAAACAGTGAGCTCGTCCATACTGATGCGGTCAAAACTAATCATAACATTAGCGGCTAATGCCAAGTTACCAGTTTTACTTTAGTGACTACAGTATTTTGGCAGAAACGATGATTACCATTGGGCCAGGATATATATGTTTGAGAGCACACGTACACAAACATTGAAATGAAGCTCCATGCTTGTGTGCCTTGCCACTAGCTATTTACCTCATGCATTAGCCGTGACTCAATCGATAGCGAGAAGGGACTGTATTGGAAGTCAGGATGGAAAATGAGAAAAAGGAGAGAAAACAGTGAAGCAAGGTTGTTTATGTCTGAGGGCTGTGAAGCGAGAGGTCCTGTCTATAGCTTGTAGCGCTCAACGGAGATGGGCTAATTTAACGAGACAGGCTAAAAGGCTAACTCTCTGCTGTCAACTGTTGCTAACATGCTAACACACTTCAACCTGAAAAAGAATAAAATAAGTAGGGCTGTAGTCAACCAAAGAAATCCTTAGTCGACCAAAGTCTTGTCCTGCGCAACGATAAGTCGACTAAAAAAAACAAAAACAAAAAAACGCGATGTTTTGATTGAACATTTTTTAACAATTGTCATAGAGCATTTATAAAACAACAACGAAAAAACATCAAAAATACATAAAACTATAATAATACAATTCTTTGAAAATTAAGTGATTTTTTTTAACTGCAAAAAGTAAGGAGCACTGTCCTAGGTCTATAGTAACAGTCACAATCGCGCACCTGACCACACCACACGCTACAAAAAAATATAACTGCTATCTGCCACATAATGAAACATCCTAACAAAAGCTCTCGTTTATACAGGCTGTATATTTTTCTTTACTTTCAAAGCTATGGGTTAACTTTTGTCCAGCCGATCGTTTTAAAACAAACACACAGAAAACCCAGAGAGCCTAAAAAACAATCCTAATAATAGGCTGTATTGTAGGACCGCATATAGGTTTATTTTCGTTTTGTTACATTATTTAGGCTATTTTCAAATACGTCAAGTGTACAAATAAAAACAAAAACATATCAAGAAAACACAATCTATTGAGTCAGCATGATAAAGCCGTTAAAGGGACTGCTCACGTCTTTTCCGCGCTCAAGTTCGATTTCAAATGTAGGCGCGCGGTGTGCGCGCTCATGATGGAAGCAACGCGGTCGCGGTGCGACGCGCTCTTTTTTTTCCAAGTGCGTCCACGCCACATCGAGATAAAAACATATAGTGTATAAAAACCGAAACAAGTAGCGTTCTAACTGAATGAATACAGCTAAACTAGCTATATCCCTTACTGAGCACGAAGCAGCAGCGCAGCCAGCCACAGGTGCGAACCGAGTGTTCTATGTGTGTGCGCTAAACTGTGGCGCTGTTACAAAATAGCCTAAATTAAAGCATTTAAAGTTGGGGATAAACCATAGGCTTATTATATTTAGAATACAGTAATATATAACTGCTTATAAAAGGAATAAAAATCAAGGAGTAAATCATTGAAAATTTCTTTCTATTGGTAAAAAAAATAAAATAAATAAATAAATGCAACTGGTCGACCAATAAGAATGTCAGTCGACCAAGACGGCATCGACCGATTAGTCGACTAAACGACTAAAGTTGACAGCCCTAAAAATAACCAGCAATTACAATTATGTTACTAACCCTATGAGTCCATTTCATAGGCAGCTAATTTTTACCAAGCCGCTGTAAATATTACTTATTAAAATTTTACACACAACAGTGCATAATAATTACAGCTCAACTGCTGTTTTTGTAGTGAGACTATATAAACACCAGGTAAAACCATATATGGTTCCTCCTAGCAAGTACAAAACATTTCACAATGTTGCCTTTTGGTTGCAGTAAGGAAATTTAAAAAAAACGTTCTTAAACACCTGCATCAAACAGGTTGTCTTTTGTTGCACAAAATGTCAATATAACAAATTTTTATCATACAAACAAAACCAGACCAAACTGTGTTTTAAACTATATGCATCAGTACCTCTTTGCTTGAAATTTCTTGTATTGATTCTTTCAAACAGTAGCCTTGGGACACATGTCATTTTTCATCATGACCATGACGTGTACAGTCATAGCTCCCTCAAATCAATGCATGTATGTGCGTGCCTGCATGTGTGTGGCGTGATGCAAAAGTGTTGAGGGCATCCTCATGTCACACTTGATGACCCTCTGCTCCAGGTGTTTTACTCATTAAATCCTCTGAACTCTAAATATAGCAACTACATTCTCTGACAAATACATTAGGTTTGTACACTGCATGCTGTAGGGTATACGAGTGTAGAAGCAACAGTATTAAACAAATCGTTTGCTTATTTGTCACAAAGCTATGTTGTATTTTAGCCTTTATCTCTCTAACTGTTCGTTTTTCCCGGCCCTTTTTCCCTGCAGATACTACAGCAAGGGATTACTACCCCAAGAGCTACCCTATGATGGATTATGCACACCGCCAATCCTCGCCTGCAACCTTCCAGCCCATTGCTTTCCACCCAAAAGATAAACCCTTCCTTCCGCCTCCAGACATCCATACTCCTTTGGCCATCACCATTACATCGGCCCAAGTCCCCAAGCACAAAATCTCCAAGACCAACACCCACCCACTCACCTCGAGCTCGGCCTTCAAAGTCTGGGACCCCAACAAGAGCCATGTCCAACATCAGGTCCCTCTCATGGCCCAGCCACCACTGTCCCAACCAAACTGTCGTCGCCAGGCCTTCACCAACAAGCGGCAGTTTAGCATTGAGACTCTTCCAGAGTTGTTCACCCAGCCTCTGGGGTATGGACAGTCTCCACACCTTCACCCGAAACACAAGGGACTGCCCACGAACAGCAAAACGGAAGTGACAGTCTGAGGGGAAAGCCTAGAAAAGACGCAAACACAAGAAAGCATGATTTTGATTAGACATTGCAACTGGATGGACGTGAAAGCTTCTGCACATGTGCTTCAGTTATATTTATAGTATATTCCTTCCTTGTACATATTTTGGACTAGATTTATATTCACTGTACTAAAATACAGAGAACCGAAGGGGAAAACGTTGCATGGTCTTGATTCCGATTCTCGATGGGCCTTGAATCCCTGGTGATCCTACTTCCCCCTAAAATTCTGGACTTGTACTGCTGGCCTTCAGATGTCTCTTGTGGCCCAGACCCATGTGTCCGATAGCACAGGGCAGGAGCCCTACACCTCAGGAGCCTTCACACCCTTTCAGACAAGGCCATTGTGCTGTCAACTTCAATCAACCAAGAGCTGCCACACAGTGAGTTATTATTCAGACAATTCTAGACCACTGTGGACAAAGAACAGCGAGGAAGCATAAGGAAAAGGACAGTGAATAAACCAAGGTGTCCTGTGAGAGAGAAGGAGAGAGAAAGAGAGTTTCAACTGTTATGATGTTCAAGGGTTTGTTATTTCAGTCAATGGATAAGGGTCTAGGTGAAATTGGCCAATGTCCCTAGGACTTTTTATCTCAACACCTTCATCGAAGGATGCATTCCAGCACTTGTCTAGGGAGCGGAACGCCAACATCACTTCAAGTCATAGCTATTCTGGCTGCTTCTATTTCAATCTCTTTTTCGAGAGGTAAAGACAAGGTCAATGAGCAAGTCTCTATTACCGAAAGACTTCAAGAGAGACATTTCAGGGGACAAAAGTCACCCACAGAGATAAGGTGCCATAGTGACGGAGGAGCACACACCTAGGTGAACAAGTCCGGCAATGTCATAAGTAGCACTGCCAACTTTGCTAAAATGACCAATGTGTATTCTTTGCAATATCTGTCAAACAGCCTGTTTCCTCAGAATACTTCGGAATATAAATAATTACGCTTTTGGTTAAAGCAAGAACCTATTTCACCGATCGTTTGGTGGCCAAATCTAGCATGTAGCGGCAATACCTACACCCTATTGTAGCATCCTAATGCACATGGCATTGAAAACCACTAAATCTGGAGGTGGGCATCGGTTTCAGAGTGAAGAGTTTAGGTGTCTCTGGAATTGCTCAAGAGACCAGGGAAAATGGTAGCAATACTAAGCCTATCCGTCCTCTCCTGCCTGGGGCCAAATGACTGATGGACACAGCTGTCAAAGTCACTCACTCTCTGCTGTTCCAAGCTGTTCCCAGCCAGGCGTTTGGCTGCCACACTGCCACAGAACAGCAGGGGGCGCTGTAATTGATGATGGCCTGCTTCTAATACAGCAGATCCAAAAATATGTTCTCCAATACTGTCTGTAGACTTGTTTTTTCTTGTCTGTCCTGTCTTTTTCATCCACACTGGATCCGAATGGAGATTTAGCATTCTTGCTCGAAGACAAGCACGAGGCGACAAAACAAAATGGAAATGTTTTATGCACCAATTTAAAGGAGACCTGGAGAGATGTCTGATGGTTACCTCTTGCTTCTTCACATGACAATAAAGCATATGAGTACTGAGCAAACACCTGTGTCTAAAAAGTAGCACACTTTGTTTGAACAGCCTTGTGAGATTTTACAGGCCAAGGACAGTTAATGTACAAGCCACCTAGGGACTATTTAAGTGTGTGAAATGTTTAGAGTTCAACAAAACTGCTGCTTGCAAATAAAACGGCAGTACTGCGAGAAGAGAAGCAGAGATGGATTATTGAACTCGGAACAAGAACACTAGGTTGCATTATGCATATACACTTTACAGCAATTGGGCCTGTAATGAACTATAAAAAAGGACAAAAAGAAAGAAAGAAGTTCTCTCTCTATCTCTCTCTCTATTCTCACCAGATTTATTTTGGAGATAATATCTACTTCTGGACAAACTCCAGGGACAGCAGCTCCATAAATATGACAGCAAGTACAGTTTGAGCATGTTCCTGGATGGCTATTTTCAACCGTTGAATTGATACGAGGATGTATCAACATGCTCTCATGGGTCAGAATCGAGTCAAACTATCCTAAGCTACAGTGATGCTCTATTCTGTCTCGGTGGCAATGGCTCCAGAGTGTCATTGGGTTTCAGGGGCAAACCCTGGAGGACAGACACAGCTGTCAGACTCTCCTGGCACAGAGATGTCAAGCGATGCCAAGGTGAGCCAGCTACACAACCCTCTGCCTGAAACGGAGCCACTTTGTTGGCCAGGAGGTCACGAAGTCTGTCTTTGAGGAATGCTGGAATAGAGCAGAGTAGATTTAGCTGTCAATAAAACCACAGCGACAACGTCTCTAGCTAGATCAGCTTAAAACCTGAATCAAATGAGGAATAACTTCCAGGAATAATCTTCGTACAAAACAATAAAGCACTGGATTGGTCAGGTTACTTCTTAATTCTGCAGGTTAAGGACTAAAAAGTTAAATCAAGTTGATGTCTGTTACAAAGAAACACAAGGTGTAAATATCGGCTTCCGAATACCTTCGGTGTGAAGACTTGTTTCCAGTGGGTTTTTTAAACCACACAAATAAGCTGAATGACTGTTGTTTCTGATTTCTTCTCAACATAAAAGTGTTCTACCTGTGATGTGAATGCCACCGGGTAGCATTTTATCTTTAGCAATACATGATGTACTTTTTACTGTTTATGTACTATTTGCAATGTCGTTTTTTTGTACCGTAAGCGTAAATGGAATCAGAGTCGAGTCTGCCACAGTTGACAACCATTTGACGAGATGAAGTGCTTCCGAATTTTAACACCCTTCTCACTTTCCTTACTAACTTAAATGATGTCTTGCCATATTTGAAGCTTGCGCTATATGTATAAAGCTTATGCTTTATTTAATCATTTTTAAAAGATGTATTATAACCAATGCTTGAATGACATCTTAGTTGCCAGTCCAGAGACATGTAATATGTATATTAGAGAATCATTGTTCCCATTTGTTTGATGGCTCTATTCGTTTGGTGGTATGTTTGACCAATCTAATCTTATGCACTATTCTAATTTGTACCTTTTGTCTATGTATAATTAGGATGAATTTTACAAAGGGCTTTTAAAGAGGTATGTGCTCATAACAGGAGTTGCCCGTGTTGAAAATGGAAAGGGTTTGTTTTTCCCAATGCAATGAGAGTGAGTGACAGTTGCTTGTGTCGGAGTGGACAGAGTTTACTATTTCATACGCAAGGCTTTGCGAAAGTTATGCTCTGTTCAGCGATCAAAAATTGAGGAAGTTTCTAGCTATAACACACTCATGGGTTGTGTAATACCATCCATCGCAAAGCAAAAAATGTTCTCTCCTTAAGAAAACAGATATTTTCTTGTTTGAACCCAGAAAAGATATATGCAAAACGTGTTAAGGACATATGAGAGCTTTTTACAGGCATGAAAAAATAACTGCTCTAAGATTGAACTTACCAGCATTAAAGGAAATCCAAAGCCAGCTACAGCACTGCAGGTTGATCCTAATTAAAAGTCACTGGTTACATCATCGATAAAAAGAACGACAAGAAGACTAATTAGGCTTGTCTGTTGACTTAAACAAGGTCAGTTTTTTTTTTTTACATCATTTAGGTTTTTTTTTTTTTACCTAACACTAGCTTTGAGAAATATCTCCTGTCACATTTGTTTTACATGTTTACTGATTATATACCCGTTTATTCATACATCAGGGTTAAAAGAGCAAAAAGTTGAATATATAAATATTATGTAAAAATGTATGTATATGATGTGAATATAATGCAGCATTAGTTTACAGCCTTTCACAAATACACACACACTCTAAAGCTGAGGATTTGACATTGTAAACACAGTGTTTTGTGCGCGTAAACTTTTCAAACGCTTTTCTGGGTGAAGTCAGGTGGCGTCTAACTAGGTGTGAAGCGACACGATTCCAAGTAATTTATTTGTCCAAAATGCCATGCAAACCCTGCAACAGTAACAGCCTGGTTTCTGGAAATATTACTTTCAAATGATATTTCAAAAAAGAATTGAACCAAACAATGCTCTGAGATAAATCATTCAATCAACATTTAAGCAAAAAAGTTTATGAATTTAAAAATGGGAAAGAGAGACAAAAGTATAAGACTATGCAGTACCTCGCATTTTTTGAAGCGATGAAGTTCTCAAACCAAGAAGCACTGCAAATGACGTAACAACATCAGCAATAATGGTACAATGTAAAATGATTAATTATCAAAGTCATTGATTATCAAAAATAGTTTTGAGTATTAGGTTAGAATATTCAAACATAAAACTTTATTTATGCCATTGGCAGTGCTTTATGGGACCAATGGGGATTTTACTTACTCTAGCAAGCAAGATTTTTGACCAATAAGATTTTACCGTGGGCGGGGCTACCCAACACAATGCTATAACAGATGTCATGCCTGGTTAGGACACAGGTTCCCTTGCTGAGATAAATAGCTTTTCCTTCCATTAGCTCTATGTCATCAGCATTCTCTCTCTCCACTCATCCTAGCTTCCTCTTCTGACTCCTCAAGGCTTAATGGACGTTCACACCGACTGTGATTAAATTGTTGGAGTCTACCCTGTCTGTATTCTTAATGGTAGTCACCATATTACATGGTAGTTTATTTGCATAAAATTGCATACCTTAACTTTGTTGCATTAGGAGTTGTTGTCGCTTGTGTCACCCAGAAATTGCCAGCCCTCAATAAAAATGGCAAATCACTGTCAGTGTGAACATCCAGTCACCACCATTCATCTTAAAAATGATATAAATGTAGAGTACACACAGGACCTGTACACAGGGGTGTAAAAAATACTGAGAAAATATACTTTTGTATGGGTAATGTGACAACATTTTACATTAGCCTAAAATATACTTGAGTGAAAGAAAAAATATTCTACATTCACATTACGGTTCAAAAGTTTGGTCAGTAAGATTTTTTTTTAAATTAATTAAAAATAATAATACTTTTTTTCATCAAGCTAATATTAAATTGAAAAGTGACAGTATGTTACAAAAGATTTCTATTACAAAATAATTCTGTTCTTTTGAACTTTTTTTGAACTGCTTTCAACATTGAATATAATGTTTTACAATATTACGATTTTCGATCAAATAAATGCGGCTCGATGAGCATAAGAGAATTCTTTTAAAAATAATTAAAAAACTTACCGAAATCATACCTTTGAATTGTAGTGTAATTGTACATAAAAGGGTTGTTTCTTAGCTTTTGAGACATTGCAGCCTATTTAACTGTAGTTGTCTTCAATGTCCAGAATATATAAGACCCTATAGGACACTGAACTGCATTAAGTGCTAAACTGAAATCAATATGTTGAAACGTAAACTGTGCATTGTGCAGATCGAACATGTTTGAGTCAAATTCATCTTCAACAATGGTTACAATACATAGGCACATGTTGTGGTGATTTATGAGATGTCTTTTAACAAGGATGAATGACCATAGTTTGACCAATTACAGTACATTTTACATTGATTTTACTGTTTGTTTCTTGGGATTCCGAGACCTTGATATGCCTTTTTGGCTAAATAAGGCAGACAAAATGATATTTTCTCAATAAAAGAAATAGAAAAGAATTTGCACTTTAGTGATGAAGCACACGACATTTTTAAGTACCTTATACCCTTGCCTACAGAAACCTGTGCAGAAACTGATGCATCATCTCACACTTGGACAGTTTCATTGATTATAATCTAGTTTTGTCGCATCACTCACTTGCAGTGCAGACCTGACATTACAGTAGTCTCTCTCTCCTTCCTGTTCTCTCTGTCACTGTCTCATTTGTGTTTGTTCCCCCGTCTCTCATCGGAACAGTGGGAGGCGTAAGTCTCAGCTGTCGGTGATATCTAAGTTAATATGGGTCTCCTGAGGATGGGGAGAGAGAGAAATGGAGTATAATACAGTACATGATGATGAAGAACTGTGGGTGGAGAGAGGAGATCTGTCATCCTCTCCTCTCGTTGCCATGTACTCCATCTCTTTTGCTCGTCTAATGCCCCATTTCCATATCTGCCATGCCTTTTTTTCTCTCCCTTAAGTCTGGTTGCACTTTGAGGAGATGTTGAATAATTCAGAGAAATAAAATTTACAGGATGGTGAAAGAGAGACAGTCAGAGAAACACTGCTGTAAAAAGCACATGAACGACTGGCAATTCAAAAGTTAAGCTGAAATGCACCTATTTGAGTAGAACACAATTTATAATCATATAAGTGTGTAAGTTGTACGTTTTAGAAGACATTTATGGACTGTTATAATGTCTGGGAAGGTTTGGCTTGACTATTAAGGAATATCCAAGGTTCAAAACAAGCTTAAGACCCCATGAATTCGCTTGATTAGCAGTATTTTGTGCCCTGTGTTGACATTTTCTATTGAAACAGGAAGTTTGAGTGGGACACATTCAAATCTCACCCTTTTTTTAAAGTAACCAACAGGAATGAAGGTATTGACATTCTCATCCTACAGGTCTGATTGGACAAAAATCTGTTTAGTGCAGAATGAGTCATCAACATTTCCGTCAGTCTAAGAACTCTTAGATTTGTAGGAAACATTGAAAGTTTTTTTTTTTTCAATTGAAAGTTTGAATGTGCAATATGTGCTAGATATTTTTATCAACTTTTAGGAATACATTAGCCTCTTTCAAAAGCTAAATGACATGGGCTAAAAGCAACAAAAACTTTTTTCATGGGGTCTTGAAGATATCATCAAAAGCATGTTAGCTACTGTCGATAACCATTGAAAATATTGTAATTACAACCTAAAACAATTCAATGCACGTACAATGGAAGTCTATGGCATACACATCACAATACACACCATCTCAAAAGTATAAATGCTAAACAAAGATTATGTGTGTTAAAATGTTTGATACACTGCTTACTAACCTTCCAAATGATATTGCTTACATACCATCCAAATGAGCTGCCGACAGACTTTAAACTTGTTTTGAGCTGGTTTATTCCTTTAAAGATTTACAGAACATTGACTACTGAAATTGTCTAGTGATAAAAACTACAAATCCCATGATTCAATGCAACAATTACCAGGTAGAAAGATGTCTGTAAATGCTTTCTCTTAGGTCAGCATGAGAGCAACCTTATTCAATAAATAATTATTATTATTATGAAACCAATTTTTACAAAGCAATGAAATAACTGAACATATGGTAGAGAGGCAATTTGATGTTCATGATACCAAGAGCAATGATGATGATGATGATAATGGCAACAGTAACCATGCTGACTCAACAGCAAAGAAAACGGCAATTGTTTCTACAACACTAGTTGCAATTTATAAGGAACATACGGACATGGTCCAACTGATTTAATGGCTTTTTAAACATCTCTTTATTACAGAAACATTGTTAAGTGTTCTTTGTATAAACTTGTTTAAAAAAATAAAAGGCAGATTGAAACACTCCTCTGGGCTGAGTCTGGTTAATGATCACCGGGGGATCTATCTGCAATTTCTGGGAAGATCTACTAAAAAAAATCATTCAACATTTACTGAATAACAGAGTTTATACTGTTAGAGAATTATCTAGACAAGCACTGATGTTTTATGCAACAGTGTGATGCTGTAAACGAACCTGTAGCATTTTAATAGTCTCATTTAGCCTGACTTTCAGTTATGGACATAAAATATGGTTCAAAATGCAGCATGTTTGGTCAAACACTTCCCACTTAGACAGGTAAAGGGTGTGTATTTTTTCCCATTAAGTTGAAGGAAACGTTAAATCGGAAATGTTAACACTTTGCAATAAGGTTCAATTCTTTAACATTGTTAGTTCGTGATACTGAATGTATTAACTAAAGTTAATAAATAGTATAAATTGTTAATGCTAAAGGTACACTATGTAACTTTTGGCCCTAGCGGTTAAAAAAAAAACTGCATGTATTTTGCAGAAGAACATGGTTTGGTTGTGCTTCAGCTCTGTGTGACTGTGCTCAAAAATATGTTTTTTTCTCAATACTAAAAAAAAGGAGAGAAAGAGATTATCCTGCTGTTCATAAAACATTAGCTGAAGACATTACTGTAGCAATATCCATTAATAGACACGGTACTTCCTTGAAAATAAATTCCAGCACAGCTACAACAACCATCATGAAATGACCCTTCACAATAGATAATGCTTTACAATGAACTCTGTTG